TGGGGTAACCAAATATCCCTCCCTTGATCGTAGATCGTTTGGAAGGGTAGTACGAATACTTGTCTTTACTCTTCTTTAAGTAATAGGCGTAGCTAAGCTCCTTTGTTGTTGGCTTGCCGAGGTTGTGCTCACCAAATGCAATATATATAGTGACCGCTATCATATATGCATTTAGCATCAACTGGAATGGCGCGACCTAGAAATGGTCGAGAATCGACCTAACGTAGGGGTGAAGGGGTATCCTAACTCCACATTTAAAAATCGCTTCCGAGATCAGGGCCATTCCCTTGGGAGGATCCTGAGCAGTGTGCGACTTGTACCGATACACGTCTACGTTGATCGCGTACTAGTCTATTGCCCTTGAATTTCGCCTTTCGTGCAAGTTGATCGAAACACCTTTCTGGGACCTGCTAAGGTGCCTGGTGGTTGCGAGCTTCCCTTTCTAGCTGTTTTCGCCTCAAGGATGTCCATTGCCCTTAGAGTCTATAAAGGTGCGACATGTAAGGGTGACTCAAACTCTACGTAAATTACCTTGTACGACGACTCAGAAGAGTAAAAGAACCCTGGTTTCTCTTCCATAGCCGCCAAAAACCCTAAAAATTCTTAAGAATGATTTTCTAAAGATCTATGCCCTATGTTTCGACTCTTAAAAGTGTTTCTTTTCAAACACTACCCAAGAATGTTAATCATCTAAGCCTATCTGACGTCCATACCCACCATTACTGTAAAACTAAGCTTTTTGATAGAAATGAAAAAGAGAAAAAGGGAAGGAATTTCTTTACCTCTCAATTGCTAGGAACAGATGCTCTGTCGCAATGTTGGGTGTGCATTCACCAGGAAGAGGATGAACTAATTTTTTGAGTGCAAAAACATTGTTTTCTCTCTAAAAATTTGAGTTATGTGAAAAACTTAGAATGGCCTTTGGGTTTATAAGGTGGAAAACAACGTTTGGTTTCTTTTATAAGCGACGTTTGGGCGAGAAAGTGTTTCCAGCCATTGATTGTGACCACGTGTCACCAATTTGCGTGAAGAGTGACCTTCACGCTTGGTGAAGATCAACCAACGCTTCTGTTTATTGAAATTGTCAAGTGTCAGTGTGATTATCTCTTCCACATTAAATGCGCCCTCATCCACATTTAATACTTCAAAAAAGAATGTCATTTCAGCATGGCTTACATTTAATGCTCATAGCTAATAGTTATTGCGCAAAGACAAGTTTGTTAGATAAAGCTTATTTTATTGACCAATACAGCTATCAAGTGTAACGATAACATTTAAGGAGGTCGTTTGAATAAGGAATTTTTTCCACGTGTCAAATTCTAACACCGAGCAAGATGATTCTCAATTTTCGACAGCAAAATGTTCTAAGAGTTTTCAGGTTGTGAATGATAGATAGAGTTCAAAATACATTTTAATAGCACTAAGTAGGATCTGGCTAAGGTCATTAGACCTTTGGGAACGATCACGTCAGGTAGTTTGTGTAGTTTTTGAAATCCATGTCACAATTTAAACTCAATTCGCTAGTCGGATCAAGACATCAGCCTCATGTCGTTTGTAATAATGTGATTGTTCTTGGCTGTTGGCCCGAGCAGACATTCCTTAAGACAAGTTAGATCACGAAATAATCATAAAGTTCTCAAGATTCAATCCTTGAACCTTAAGAACTGGAGAGCTTCTGTTATACCTAAAAAATCAGGGCTAGTGTAAGCTTACATCAGCAAACACAAATCAGAGTTCAGGAAGGCTTTGTGCCATCTAGAAGCTACCAGCTGCCCCAAAATAGAAAGAATACGGTTGTCATCAACTTATCAAATTCAGGTTTTGTCTATAAGTGACTAAAGACCGCACACCTATCCAAGCCCCAGTTAATTTGAGGATATTTTCTAAGTTATTAGCCAATGAGAGGTAAGGAAGGACTTGTACGACAACTACCCACTTGCAGATTTGTAATCATTACCTTGAATCTCACTACTATAAATAGAGGACTCCCCTTCTCATTTTCGGGATCCTGAACCCTCATTCTGATTCTGATTATAATCTTTATTTTCAAAGCAAAGATAACCTGAAAGAGAATGACTTCATATTCTCTCTGAATACTCAGTTATTGTACCTCTACTCACTGTTCGCTACACGCGACCTCTTGTAATCTCTCATATATAAAAGAAACAATGGACGTAGGAATCGCTTTACGCATCTGAACCACTTTAAAAATAATTTCTCATTTATTATTCAGTCTTTGCATTCAATTACATTGATCAACTCTCATAATCAATCACGTGTAATTTCTAAGACTTTCTTAGCACTTTGCACATGCGAGTCGTTGGTGTCAAAATCACGCATCAACACTAAGAAAAAGCAAATACTAATACAAAAATGAAGAACACCAGAAATTTAACGAGGTTTAGTATTAAAATTACCTACATCTTTAGACGCTACTGATCACTTCAACTAATTTTAAAGGAGGAAACTATGAAAAGTTACAACTTTGGGCTAATTTACA